ACTCCCCCTACAACACAACACAACACAACTCTCTCTGCACCACAACACAACACAAGTCCCCCTACAACACAACACAACACAACACAACTCCCCCTACAACACAACACAACACAACTCCCCCTACAACACAACACAACACAACTCTCCCTACAACACAACACAACGCCCCCTACAACACAACACAACTCTATCAGCTCTAGAAACAGATCTGGTTTGAGAATTAGGGGGAAGGAAAAAATGTGAAGAAGAGTCAATAGTAGAATCATCAGCATAAGAATGGATAGAATTAGTCGTAGTGTGAATTAAATCATTGATTAAAAGAAGGAAGAAAGTGGGACACCACTATTGGTAGAGAAAGAACGAGATCGATCCCTCAACAACAACTGCCATGGATCGGTTCTCAAGGAAGCTAGAATTTAGATAACAAAGTAAGGGAAAGAAACCATGAGAATAAGTTTATAAAGCAAAGACTTGTGCCATACCCTGTCAAATGCTTTGGAGATGTCGAGGACCACGACGAATGTTTCCCCATATTCACTAAGAAAGGATGACCAAAGATTGGTGCAGTTCTTTTACTTTTATCCTTTTCGCCATTGATCGGCTCGTTAGCCGCTTGGGCGATCGGTCACGTCTCTGTTACGCACTGTTGACAAGTACTGGGCATGCACCGGCTCCTGAATGTACCTGAACCTGCTCCAATGTTGGTCAAGTCTGGTTTTGAAAGAGCTCACACGCGGTGACGTGACAGCACTTTCTGGTAGAGTGTTCCAAGAGTTCACAACTCTCACTCCGAAAAAGTTTGCCCTCACAGTTTTCTGGACTTACGGCTTCTTCAATCTTGAGCTGTGACCCCTTGTGGGGCGAGCGTCCGCCAGCTCCAAGTAAGGACACTCGATTGGGTAGTGCCCTTTGAAATGCTTATACACCTCAATTAGGTCGCCCCTTGCCCGTCTGTAGTATAAGCTAGACAAGTTCAAGCGCTCCAATCTCTCAGGGTAGCTGAGGTGCCGAAATGCAGGCACCAGTCTGGTGGCCCTCCTTTGAACATTTTCAACCAACTGACAGTCCCTAGCATTTCTCGGGGACCAGACGGGGTGACAGTACTCCAGATGGGGAAGCACTGAAGATCGTTACGAGGGACGGACCGTCTAGATATCTGAACGACCCATAATTTATTTGCCTGATTTACCTTCTTCTTGCAAATGGCCCGAAAACTTCAGCTCATTGTCAACATACACACCAAGGTCCTTCTCACATTCAGTCTCAAATAGTGCAGTTTCTTCATCCCGTTGGGACATATGATACGCCTCCTTACCGTTGTCACTTCGTGACATTGAATCTCAGCAGCCATTTCTTTCACCATTCTTGGAGCTCACAGAAATCCTTCTGCAGCTCTTCACAGTTCGTTTGGTTCTTGATTTCCCTAAATAACTTGGCGTCATCGGCAACCATTTGTGTGGAGGAGTGTACAACGTCAGGCATGTCATTTAGAGCAGATCACCAGTAGATCTCGCCTGGCGAAAGCCATACTGATGATCCGACAAAAGAGGAAGGCGTTCAAGATGACGGAGAAAATGAAAGTTTAAGAGTGTTTCGAAAATCTTAAGAAAGGAATGAAGTTAGGGCATAGGGGCGATAGTGAGAAAGAATGGAATGGTCACACTTCTTCGGGATGCGCTGAACTGAGGCATGATTCCAAGAAGAAGAAAAAGTTTGGGTTTTGAGGCAAAGGCGATAGAAGCGAGCAAACAGAGGGTCCAGAACTTCAGCACACTCCCTCAGAACACGAGGGAATTTTCCGTCCGGTCCATGCATCTTACTCACTTCCAATCTGGATAACACACCAGCAGCCCTACGAGTGGAAATTATAGGAAAGTGCATAGGTTCAGGAGGAGGAGCAGGAGTAGGAGGGATAGAGATGGAATCGTATAAGGTGGAGGTAGAGGAGAATAAGGTGCCTAAGCGATTGGCTTTATTAGGGGGAGAGATGGCTATAGAGTTATCAGGTCGGGAGAGAGGAGGAAAAGAGGAGTGCAGAAGTTATTACAGAAATTTTTGGTTAAAGACCAGAGGATTTGCTATAAGGAGAGTTAATCAGGTCGGCGGTCTTTCTTTTTTTTAAATTCCGCTTGGCCCTACGGAGAATAACATTACAACGATTCTTAGAAGTATTGGAAGAGGAGTGGGTAACAGGATAAGGAGATAGATTCATAACTTGATATGCCTTATCTCTCTCCCTACATGCAAGAGAACAGGAGCGATCAAACCATGAATATAAAGTAAAAGTTTTGAGAAGATTAGATAAATGCACTCATGCCACCCTGTATAACCCCAGCAATGCAGTCAGCACATGACGCGGCGTCCCGTGTGGAAAAGCAGCATTCACCCCAGGGAAAGTCAGAAGAGAATTATCGCAAGGATTGCCAGTTTGCCCTCCGACAGTGCCATAGTTGGCGTTTCGAGGGGGGGGGGGGTGGTGGTCGTGCCCAGTTTGATTTAATAGAAGTAAGATTGTGATCAGAAGCACGTTGAAGTTCAGATAGTAGTAAGAGGTCGGGGGAAGAGGTTAATAGATGGTGATCCACAGATAAAAAAAAAGATCTCAGGCCACAAATGTTGAAAAAATGAAGTGTGAAAAAAGCAGATCCTCCGGCAACCGCGGTGACGTCAGTTGAGGCCCCAGTAGTTTGATGCTGATCAAGTCGACCCTGTTGTCCACAACTTCCCAACCAGTGGGACCCATCTTAGTACCAATATGCAGAGAACCACCTTCTATCATTCTTACAAGTGATTAATAAATGTTTAATCTTGTAATTGTGTGATTTCAGTAAGAATTCTTATGTTAAGCTCTGACCTGCGTCTAGGTCCCATTATGATTATTATATATATATATGTATTTAAATATTTTAAGTATAATGAGAAAACTTTCACTGTTCGTTTTACCTACTCTCTATCATATTAAATTGATAACTAATTAATTAACTGCTCTGATCGCGATTGCACTGCCTTGTCTATTAGGGTGTGTTGAAACTTCTGGGTGACATCTTGCCTCGTTTTCAAGTGATCATTGGAAATGCTGTAACAAATCAAAATACTGTTAACTAGAGATTTTAATAATCCATAACAAAATCATAGACATTTATTTTGTATTATTTGTATTTTATATTCATGTGTTACTGAATGCGTTGATTCGTATAGGCGGGTAGCTTATTATTGATTTATTAGTGTCTAATACAGTTTTAGTTTGTTTTATGTATGCAGGTTTTTGAATCTCCCATTTTTTTTGTGTTTCAATGTTTATTGTCCTTTTTTTTTATGAAACTTTGGTATCCGGTTTTTTCGTGATCTTGAGTTCTAATGTGGTGCCTTCATTGGCGTATGGGTATATTTTTCCATTCACGATGACTGGTTCGACTTTTTGTTTGGCAATTGGTATGAATTTAAATTTGTTATTAAATGTTTTGATTTTCAATTTTCTTTCATAATAATCATTTATGATCTTTATTGCTTTCGTTGTATAGCGTTCCATCATTACCTCTGACTTCCCAGGATATAATATGATTTATGTGATGTCGTCTTCGAAGATAATAATTATGTTCTAGTAGATTGCTTGTACCAGTACTGTATATACGTATAGTGAATAATGCCGGGGACATTACGCCCCGCTCGGGGCACTCCACTTTCTAGGTCTAGAGTTGGCCCTGAATACCTTCCAATTTGTAACTGTGCTCTTCTTTTTCGGAGGTAGTCACACAGAATTCTCTCGCCTTCTGCTGGCAGGTATAATTGTAAAATTTGGTACTTTGGGCCTTTGTGCCACACTTTCTCAAAGGCTTTTGCCACGTCTCTCAGGACAAGGTTTATTCGATCTTCGTGTTGTTTTTCTTTGGCGATGATTTCTGTTATTATATTTATTGCAGTTTGGGTTCTTGTCCCTCTCCTGAGGCCATATTGACTTGGGTTGTGTTTATTTTTTGCATCCAGGAATTTTTGTAGCCTGTTGTTTATTATGCGCTCTAGGAGTTGCCAGTTATTTCCAGTAAAGATATTGGTCTGCAGTTGGTTATTTGTTTTGGATCCTTGCCTTTGTGAATGAAGATCATTTTAGCGCATTTGAGGGCATCGGGGAAGTAACCGGCTGATAGGGTTGAGTTCTATATATTTAGGAGTGCTTGTATTGGCCTGTTAGGTAGGTTTAATAAGATATTTCGAGTCATGCCACTTATTCCAGGGATCTTTATTTTAATACCTGTAAGCTGTGTAGTAAGTTCGCCGTGTTCTCTGAATCTATTGGGTCTTAGTTTATCTATTGTTTCGTCCTCTTAGCCAGTATTTAATGGCTTCTTCATGTTCTTTGTAAGAGTTCTCATTTTTTCCTCTGATATTCTGAAGATATTTTTCCATTTCTTCAAAACGCCTCTTCTTTTTCCTGGTCTGTATAAAGTTTTTCTCAGTTTTGGTCTTTTCTGTAGTTTACTGTTATTTTTTTGGTGTCCATGAAACCATACAGATGATAAAATTTTGGATATTACTCAATTCCTAGGGTCTTGACTTGTCTCCTGACAATTCATTTAAATTGCACCCGCAGTTTTACCCCACAGCTGTTACACGGCTGATAAACGATGATTTATCTTTGTTTAAGCAAGATTTTCTAAGTCATGGCAACATCAAATAACTCCTACTTCACTCTCGTGCTTTGTCAGTAATCATTGACTTCCTCTTTTCTACAATACTTCTTACAGTATTTTTTTTTTCTTAAGATAGAATAATACTAATCTCATCTATGGTTTGTTTGAGAAACCCACTTTATGCTTGAATCAGCGTTCTCTCCTTTCACAATAGAAATTTAGCATTTTATATTATTCACTGAACGTTACTTTTACAGTTTGTGAAGAGTCGTCTGTCTAATCCTACGTCGGTCATCATCATTGCCCAAGACCCTTTCATTAATAACGAATGTTAATGAGCGTATTCCTTACAGGGTAAAGTATAAATACACAGAAGAGAGTCAGAATTTATTGAAGTCTCAGTTTATAAATAGTTTCCTTTACTGTCAGTAGTTTTGTTCATCCCATTTCACGTCACAGGAGCACTGAACTGCTTCTCGGTCGTCGTGTTCAGGATATTTGTATCTTCAACTTGGCCAGTTCATAAGAAGAGCATACAAAGAGGTAGATAAAAATAATATATGTACGTATCCTATATAATTAGAAAGGCCTTATAATTATGATAGTTCAGAGCTCTATATCTGATTATACTGTAATATTGAAAATAAGAGGTAAATAAATAAAAAAAATCCTGTAAATCAACTTCAGGAGTGGCATCAGCTATTACACAAAACTTAAGGTCAACACCATTTTTACAAGTCACTGATGTTCAGTATATACAAGATCTGATAATGTGATATTTCTTTTCTATGTTTAACGAGAATAAGATGTTACTAAGCATGTGTTCTTTGTTCATATGAGTTACAGTTACAGTTTTTGAAAGGTTTGAAAAACTTAACGGCTGTCTGAATGACCCTCGGGAAACAAGAACTTTTATTAACACATGTTCTTATAAGTGAATAAAGGAATCACATATAAGAGACCATTAAAAGCCAAAGAACACGATGTGATCATAAAACTAAATTTGAACATTTTCCATAAAGCCCTATGACAGTATCTCTTGGTTGTTTTGAATCAGCCAATGCCAGGATATTTGCTGAAATTAATAATAATGCAAAATATCTACAAAAGGTAGATACTTCGTAGAAGTGAGATTCACTCATGTGCAGTCATACCTTTGTTTGGACAAACATAACATATGCCAGCCTTAAGGCATTCAAAGTACCAAACTTCATATTAAACATTGTAAAACCAATTAATGAATAAATCTAAAGAACACTTAACCAAAGTAAGAGTAATGACCTGTTAGTAAATAATAGCTCGGTAAATATCAAGAACCTCCTCGAACCAGGCGGTGAGGAAGCTCTTCGAATAGCTTTGTCTAAGGATACGGCCTTGCCGTCTGATGACTCGGCGATGAATGTCTGTGAAACTCTCGGAGGGCACCGACAACGCGTGATGGACATCTCTCTTACCCTCCTCACCTCTCGTGTCGTGACCACTTGCAACAAAGTAAGTGTCGTCTGGTGTGGTTCTCCCTTCAGCGACGCTGTGGTAGGGCAATGTGTTGGTTCTTCCCTCGTCATCATCCTTCTGATGAATCAGGTCGTGGACCTCTGGTGTAACAACTTTGCCATTTACATCAACCACATCATTAACGGGAAAGCTGACGAGCTGCTGGCTGTTCCTAGGCTGGCCAACAATATAGTCCGCCACCATGGATATTACACTGTCCAAGCTGTCTAGAGATCTTCCATTGTTGTTATTATTATTATTATTATTGTTATTATTGCCATCACCACCACCATCACCATTACCACCATTGTTATTATTATTGTTATTGTTGTTGTTGTTATTGTTATTGGTATTGGTATTGGTGTTATTAACTGCAGTTCCTGCCGTGATGTTTATGTTGATGTCTATGGTTGCCATGATGTCTGCAGTGATGTCCAGCGTCAGGATGGCGAAGGCGAAGAAAGAGAAGAGCCCTGTGTTGGATGACTTGCACACCACCTGAAACATTAAAAGAAATTCTCAGTAACAATTTTGCTGTGTCATGTTTGCATTATGGAGTTCATGCGTATTACGTGATGCATTGTTTGTTAAGATTTTAATTTCATAATAAATATTCAAATGTTACTCAAGAATTTTGCCTTTTAGGCTCTGCTCTGAGGTTGAAATAAGAGATCTCCGAATCGTAGACCTCACACACACACACATATACATATATATATATATATATATATATAAGTAAATCACTGTGGGTGCGCGTGATCCAGGTATATGCTGAAAATTAAGAAGATTTGTAACCAGGTGAGAGGGTTGGGTCAACTTACACTCTGACCTGACTACCAACCGTTGTCGTGCTTTTTAAAGATTAGTAGGGTCATTACCTAATACCTGACCATTGTGGACCTGATCTCACCCTCCTCTCTCTATATATATATATATATATATATATACAATCAACACCTTAACCCGCTAGGATTCGAACCCACGGCCCACGAGCCAATGACTGTGACCGGGGAACGCTAACCGCTGGACCACCAGGATACTAAAAACAGTTCTAGACTTTGTTATATTTCACACAAAGCCTGTTCAACGAGCTTATGGAGCCGTGAACCGCTTTTAGTATCCTGGTGGTCCAGTGGTTAGCGTTCCCCGGTCACAGTCGTAGGCCGTGGGTTCGAATCCTGGCGGGTTGTGGTGTTGATTGTATGTAGAAGTCCGAGGGCTTTATTGGGCTAATGATATATATATATATATATATATATATACACCTTGTTTTGTACTTCTCCTTAGTCTGTACTCACCCCTGAAAATGTGAATTACACGAAAGCGCTTGGGAACTTGTGTTTTCTTCTTTTCTTGTAGTTATCAGCATATATATATATATATATATATATATATATATATATATATATATATATATATATATATATATATATATATATATACATATATATGCAAGTAAATCACTGTATGCGCGTGATATATATATATATATATATATATATATATATATATATATATATATATATATATATATATATATATATATATATATATATATATATATATATATATATATGCTGTTCAAAATTTTGGTGTTGCATATTGACAAAAAATACCCACGTGCAATTTTTTGAAGATTCATCCATATTTGAGTGAGCACCAGCAATTTGAAAAATAGCGATTTTGCTTATACGGCATACGCGCCTATATATGAGATTACACAACCATTATAAGGGATATTAACACTAATCATTTGCCTGTCTTAATTAAAAGCTGTTATCACTAACACAATAAAGTTAATCATTCTTATTCTCTCATGGTATATTAAGGGGTTTTATCATATATTCACAAGGTATTATTTCTCTAGAGCAAGAAACCATGATTTCTGTTCGGAAACAAATGATCGTTTGCGCTGATTAGGAACGCAGAGTCTGTCATTTTCAACTACTTGAAGGACTTCTTAAAAGAGCTCCTCATCCCTGGCAACATTAAGAAAGTCATGGCAAAGTTTTACACCACGCTCTGCAGCCTCATTGACGACCTGGAGCTTGTCCACAACCCATTTCATGTTCAGGTAGTCGTCATGATCCGCCCATTCACTGGCTGGACTGATAGGGCATGCCTAAAATGGTGAAGAACCGGCTTGAGTCAGGCCCAATTAAGTCCGCCAGGGCAGTGCCACTTTCTGGGACAGGGGGAAGATATGGCGTTCCATAGCCCCCATGATTGAGCCCCACTCTCTTAGTAACTTCAGTGCCTTCATGGCAAAGAAGGGCCTTCCTCATCTCCTCTTTTGTCCTTTCTTGTACTTGGGACGAGAACAAAGCCAGTGGGGCCAACTCCTCAGTTAGGTACCAAGTGTGTCTACCGAGTGCCACACGTGCTTTGTCAACTATTGTGGCGTCATATGGGGCAAATTCAGCCAAGGTTTCGACCAATTTCAAGTCATTCAGTGGCGCACTTGCTGGAACGGGGCAAACATAAGAACATAAGAATGGA